TTAAGAACCTAAATGACAAATGTATTTTTTAAAGATTTCTCTCTGTGTTCAGTATTACTTAAAATTCAGGCGAGGGTTCAGGAGGGAAAAATAAATGTTTGGTCAGCTTTGTCCGCATATGTAAGGAAGGAAAACCTGGGATGTTCATCTCCCTCCCGGCTAATTGAATCGAATTTGTAGATTAAGACCCTAAATGACCAACGCATTTCTTGAAGATTCTCTGTTGCGTAAAATTCAGAAGGAAGAAAAATACATGTTTGGTCAGCTTTGGCCGCAAGATTCCAAAAGCGTCTCCAAGTCCTGGTAGGTGACAAATAATTTTCCATCCTCTCTCAGAGGAGGGATGTGACGGTAAGCCTCTCACTTCTCTATCGATGTTTTCCTGATTACTACGACCGGGGAAATATCCTCTTGGAAGTCGGCTCCATAGGGCAGTGGTTCGCAAGAAGAAGCTGTTTGAGAAGAATTTACTTCTCACCGATGGGATACGGATGGAATGTAGACGGTTTGCTACAATGCAAGTGACATGGTGGTTCCTAATCGTGATGGATAGGGCTGACGGAACCAAGAAATATAGTTCGTCCGAGCGCTTTCTATGGAGATAGCCATAGAGAAATGTGAGACTTGGCCCTACCGCCTGTGAGAGAGAAATTGGAGGGTGGATAATAATTTGTCACCTACAAGGACTCTGAAACGATTTTGGATTCTATCGAGACTGGCAAGTGAGGACTGGTCAGCTCCAGCTCATATATGGCAGCAATACTCCATTTTAGGCCTTAAATGACTCTTGTAAAGGCAGGGGATAGCTGGAGAATTCTTTCAGAGATGTTGAACTGAACTGACTTTATGCAGCCATCTTGGTTTTTTCTTATTTTTATGGATTTAATCCTTCTATTCTTATTATGTATGAGATCTGTATTGAAGTTAAAGTCAAATCATTTTTAACGTTTTATAGTTTGTTTTATATTCATTTGTTGTTTTTCATGATACTTTTGTAAGGTGTTACAACTGCCTTCATCAAAAACGTATCTAATTAAAAGCCTAGTGCTAAAAGATATGTATTACGTGCTAATACCCTTGGGAAAGATATGAATCCTCTTCTCCCACCCCCCCAGAATAAAAATAAAGAAATAATCTTTTGTTGGATCCCATGCCATCTTTGGATACCGGGAAATGACAGGGCGGATTCGGAGGCAAAAAAAAAAAAAAAAGCCATGAAGAATGCAATAACAAACACAAGGGTTCTATACTCCGATTTTAAGACAGTTGTAAAGAAAATTATCATTAAAAAATGGCAACATCATTGGAATACATTCATTAATAACAAACTTCAAAACATTAAACTCACTATTGGAGAATGGAACTCAGAATACAAAAATAGAAGCGAACAGGTCATGCTGACCCGCCTTCACATAGGCCACACCTACATCACCCATCATTATTTACTAGAGGGAACAGAATCCCCAATATGCACTATATGCCAAGAGAAATTTACAGTGAAACATATACTGTTAGAGTGTGTAGATCTAGTGCGAACAAAAGTGAGTAATTTAAAAAAAAAAAATTTTACGAAAATAAAACCATCCAAGATTTTAAATTTCCTAAAAAAAGTTTGATTGTATTAAAAAAATATGAGTAATTTGAAAAATGGTTCAAATATATATATATATACATACACACCTTTTTTTACCAAACTATCGCTATGAATCTATTTCAAAATTTTGTTAGCACTAAATGACCCACTGAAGTTGATATGCCATAAAACAAAAGAACCAACCTAGCTATGGGTAAATAGCAGGACAGACCCGGGCCTATAGCCTTGGATGGTAGCTGGTCTACCGCAGAAGAAATGGCAACCTACTGCGGGAAAAAATCTGCCTCGTCAGTCATGTATCGAAAGATACATGATCGCCTAAACGTGTATCATGCATAGCACATAACTGACTGAGTCCAGTTATTCCCAAGCGCCGTAACGCGGCACACTTGTGTGCCGCAAAATATTGTCGCCGCATACATGTATGTGTGTGTGTGTACGTGTGTGTAAGTAGTAATGGTGCAGCGTTAGTATTTGTACAAATAAGTATTAAACTTTTTTTCAAATAATTCTTTTCACTATTCTTCGATTATGTTATTTTAAATACTTGGTTTTAATATTCATTTTTTAAAGTAGTTTTTTATCAGTTTTATTGCAATTTTATATTTTATATATATATATATATATAACTTTAAAAATCAGGAGATCAGTTGAATCTGCTACCTTGGTTTCAACCTTACCTTACAGTATTCCTCAGGCGATTTTTATCAAATTACCTCAAAACGCTTTATTTTTTTTAAACAAATGAAAGCTATATCATTACTTCAAAAAATAAACAAACAAGCGGACAACGTTGCGTTTAATAGAAAGAGGGGAAAGAGATGAGAAGAAGAAGAAGAAGAAGAAGAAGAAGAAGAAGAAGAAGAAGAAGAAGAAGAGTGGGAGGAGAAGAAGTAGTGTGGGAGGAGAAGCGGGACGAGAAAAAAGGCACGGCTATTATAAATGTATCGGTGTGGGGGTTAATTGAGGATACCGAAAGGTTGAAACCAAAGTAGTATATTCAACTGACCTCCTGATTTTTAAAGTATATATATATATATATATATATATATATATATATATATATATATATATATATATACTTATATATATATAAGTTTAAAATTAGGAAGTCATTTGAATCCGCTATTTCAACCTTACGGTATCCTCAGGCGATTATTATCAAATGACCTATTAACGCTTTATTATTAAAAAAAAAACAACTAATGAACGCTATATCATTATTTTCAACAATGAATAAACAAACGCAGATTCAAATGAGCTCCTGGTTTTTAAAGTTATATATATATATATATATATATATATATATATATATATATATATATATATATATATATATGTATGTGTGTGGGGGGGTCAAATATGGATCAGAATCCGACAGAATAATAAGATAAGGAACAAATGGGAAATGTTTATCATTCTAACATGTTTCACTTTTATTATTTTTCTGACGAAGCATTAATAACAATCGAAACACAGTATCTTTCGCGTATCTTATGTTTCTTTGAGTGCCAATGACAATAATAATGTCTGGCAACTGTAGATTATTATTTTTTTTAACATCGCCTGGCTGTACAGGATTTTAAAGATCGACTCGTTATACAGGATTTTTAAGATCGCCACGCTGTACGCGGTTTTTAAGATCTTTTTTTCTTTATCGGCTATTTAATGCCCAGATTTAATTTTCTTGGGAGCTTTTTTTTTTTTTTGTTTTTTTTTTACTATTTAAAATCTGTTCATTATTTATATTATTCGGACTATTGTCCTCATCTTTTTCGCCATATCTATCACAACGTTTCGGCCGTTGTACGCTCCGGCCTTCTTCAGGTGTTTGGAATGTCGAACTGAACCCTTTATTTCGCTCACTGGAGTAGACTGTTCTAGTTCCACGCGCCATGTTTGATGTTTCCCTCAAGGACACATGGCACAGTGGATAAAGGCGTTGGTTAAATCCAGTGACAGACCCAAAGAAGGTGAGTTCAATACCTGGTTAAGGCAGTGGAGAACTTTCAGAGGGAAAATTTGCAGGAGATAACTGATAGCTGACATCCATCAAACATGGCACGTGGAACTAGAGCAGTCTACCCCAGTGAGCGAAATAAAGGGTTCAGTTCGACATTCCAACCACCTGAAGAAGGCCGGAGCGTACAAGGGCCGAAACGTTGTGATAGATATGGCGAAAAAGATGAGGACAATAGTCCGAATAATGTAAATAATGTACATAATACCTCATCTCAGAAATATAGACAGACTTAAAATCTGTTCCTGAAAGTGTTTACTATAAAAATGTATTTTTATACTTTCATAGTGTTTTGACTCCAAATTTGGAGTTCACCATTAGCTGGGACACCAACAGGTGCCACCACTCCAGGTCAAGATGGACCTGGGAACAACATCAATTAAGAGGTGGTTCCACGCTCCCCAAAACCTCCTGATCAGAGGTCTTGCTGCCGGATGTAGTTTATCGTCATACCCAGGTCGGTCGTGATTTAATGAAGGTCGAATGAACACTAAGCTAAAAAATAAATAAATAAATAAATAAATCCCTGTTTTTACGAGCAGTTCAGTAAATTTGAATAATGTAATTTTTCTATTCGCTTATCACTGCCCAGTGGGTTTATCGCTCAGGGTAACTTCCTTGCTTAAACTATTCCCTGCACGAAGAAAGGAGATAGTGATTTTCCAAGCGTAGTTCATATGTGGCACAAGGCCGAAAGTATGGGGCATCCAGTGAGGATCGAACTCACTTTTCAGTAGTAACTGATCTGGTGCCCTTCTATTTTCCAAGCGTAGCTCAGATGTGGCACAAGGCCGAAAGAATGGGGTACCCAGTGAGGGTCGAACTCACTACTCAGTTACAATCGTGCTAGCAAGACAAGCTTGTTAACCATTACACCACCTCGTTGTGCCCAACGAAGAAAGGAGATATTTATCACAACAGTAGAACAGAATGATAAATAAACATTCAACTGTAAGAATTAGTTTAATTTTCATAGGAGCTTTGTTATTTTTTTTTCAAAAATGTATTGTTGATAACTTCTGTTTTTATGAAAATATTTGTTGCTGGTCATTTTTTTTACTGTAAAAATGTATTTTTATATTTTCATAATGTTTTAATCCAAGTTTGGGCGTTCACTATTTGACCATAGCTGGGACCCCAACAGTTGCTACCACCCAGGGAGGGTGAACCTGGGAACAACAAAAATTAAGAGGTGGTTCGACACTTCTCAAAAGCTTCCGATCAGAGATTTTGCTGTCGGATGTAATTTACCGTCATGTCCAGGACAGCTAAACACAGGCGTTACTGTCTTATTTGTGACAGAATCCATTGTGTCCCTTTTCCGTAATAAAACGATTTAAATATCTAGCATTATTTAATCGTCTTTGGGATTGATTATTATAGACAATGAAAAGAAAACTGGTCTTTCTTCGTTCCTTGTTTAAAGTTAAACATTGCTTGATTGACGATGAAGAGGAAACCGAAGCATCCAGTCTTTCGACGAAATCGGCTGCCTCGGTATCTTTGCTTCTCGCTTTACGAATGTCAGATGTTAGGATTTGATTTGAAACAAATAGAAAAAGAAAAAAGAAAAAAGGTTGGTCATAAAGAAGCTAAAGAAATGGGAGAAGAACAAACACGAGCCCTCGACAAAGGATGAAACTCATTTATAACAAAAGTAAAAGGTAGAAATCGACGGACATTTTGTTTCGTTAAGTGGAAGACGTTACGTTCCGGTTTGTAAATGGACTATGGAAAAGGAAGAGAGATATTTTCCTTTTTTTTCCTCCTTTTTATGAACACGCACACATACATCTGTCTTTCTTTACACACACACACACACACACATATATATATATATATATATATATATATATATATATATATATATATATATATATATATCCTAGAAATAGGGAAACAGATGATGACTTACGTTATACAGAAAGATTTCGTTGATATTACTGGTCCTATCTATTTCTCTTGACGTGGAACGACCTGCTTTGCATCATGAAGTGATTTCAAAAGTCACGCCCAAATTCACCCATTTTTCTGTTTGTCTGTCTCTCACACAGACACGCATACATACATATATATATATATATATATATATATATATATATATATATATGATTAAAACGAAAGATGGTTCACGTGTGCTTCTTATGTAGAGTTAATAAGCCGATTAATAAAATTTAAGGAATAAAAACCCAACAATAGGATAACAATATTGGCATTAATATTGATTATATTTATTATATATTGTTTTGACTAAATTGAAAATTTTTCTTTATTCCTCATCTCGTTGAAGAAGCACACAGGCGCGTCCGAAAATTCCGACTTTTAAATCTTCGCGCTTCAATTTAGTCAAAAGGCTAATATATAATAAATATCATCAATTTCATTGCTAATACTTTTATCATCTTTTCTTTTTATTCCTCAAATTTTATTAACCTACCTATTATATATATATATATATATATATATATATATATATTATAATTATTTTTTTAAAAAAATATGATTCCTTCGCTACATAAGAGTTCTCATGTTTCAAAAACAAGAGCCAAAAACCTCAATATAATTATTGAAATTAAATTGAATTAAAGTATCAAACCCTGTTTCATCCTCAAGCGAAAATTTAGGAACCTAAATTTTCGCTTGAGGATGAAATTTTCTACATATTTGCATATATATATATATATATATATATATGTGTGTGTGTGTGTGTGTGTGTGTGTGTGTGTGTTGACACATGTTTCACTGACTAATTTAGACAAGCTTTGTCTACTTATTTTCAGTTGAATTTTTTCATATTCAGGGACAAGCTGTTTGGTGTCATTATTAAAGTAAGAGAGAAAATTACCGTGTTGATACATATTATTTTATTCCGTGTATTTTCGACATTAGCACAATGTTATCATCAGGTTGCTGTTTATTTCAAGATAAATATTGTAGTGTTCATCATTTTCAAAGGCAAAAATTGCTGTGTTCATCTGAAACTTTTTTGTTTTTTTTTACCTGTGACGGGTAGAACGCTGAGTTGTGTACAGTGTGATTGGCTTGAGTAACGCTTCAGGGGAGGTAACTAAGCTATGATGTTGTCGAGAGAGGCTAAGTTTTTATTTGTATAATGCGTCTAACATTTCTAAACATTCGCAATTCAGAATAATTCTTGTTGAAAATACATCTGTACTTTTTCATGAAAATAATAAAGATAAATGAAAAATTCTCGAAGCTATCTATATTAAAAAAAAAAATTGGAACCAAACCGGAATAAAATTAATTATGAATACTGTACAAATGTTTTAACCTGTTTACAGTAGATCGTTTAAAATATCGAGGTTTGTACTAATAGTTTTAGTACTTATTTCTTAGAAAAAAAAAAAAAAAAAAAAATCTCGACATCTTTATTCCAACCACCCCTTTTAATTTTCTGGAAATTTCCACCAAGTCCTCAATTTAGTATTCGGGTATCCTAGGACAAAAAGTTTTATTACTAAAGTTTATAAAAAAGCCAGCCACCCCTTTTATTCCAACCACCTTGTCTAATAGAAACTAAAATGAAGTTGGTTGATTTTACAACATTATATCCTTTGTTAAGTTATTAAATGTCGGATTTTATGTGGGGCACCCAGTGAGGATCAAATTTGTTATTCAGTAGTAATAGGTCAACCAGACTAGCCTCTTTAAACCATTACTCAATACCGAGTGAAAATGGTTGATTTTATATGCCAGCTGTTGTTATTTACTGCCAAATTTTATATGGGGCACCCAGTGAGCATCAAATTCACTATTCAATGGTAATATGTCAACCAGACAAACCTCATTAACCATTACTTAATCCCGTGTTATGTTGGTTGATTTTATGATATGCCAACGTTTGTTAGGTTGTTTATTTTGATATGGGGCACCCAGTGAGAATCAAATACACTATTCAGTAGTAATAGGTTAACCAGTCTAGCCTCGTTAACCATTATCCCATACCGAGGTAAGTTGGTTGATTTTATGACACGTGAACCCTTGATGGGTTTTTTAATGTCGAATTTCGTATGAGGCACCCAATGAGGATTGACTTACTCAATAGTAATTGTCAACCAGACTAGTCAGTCAGTTATGTGACATCCGTGATACACGCTTAGGCGATCATGTCTCTTTCGATATATGACTGACGAGGCAGATTTTTTTCCTGCAGTAGGTTGCCATTTGTTTCTGCGGTAGACCAGTTGCCATCCAAGGCTATTACCCATAGGTGGGGGGGAGAAGAAGAGGATTCATACCTTTCCCAAGAGTATTAGCACGTCAGTCAGTCAGTTATGTGCCATGCGTGATACACGCTTAGGCGATCATGTATCTTTCCATACATGACTGACGAGGCAGATTTTTTCCCCGCAGTAGGTTGCCATTTTTTTTCTATGGTAGACCATTTGCCATCCAAGGCTATAGAACCGGGTCTATCCTGCTATTTACCCATAGCTGTTGGGAGGGGGGGAGAAGACGAGGATTCATACCTTTCCCAAGGATATTAGCACGTAAGTAATGGATTCGAGTGGAATTCTATCTCGGCTCTCAACCATTACCCCATACCGAGTTAAGTATGGTTGATTTTACGCCATGTCGGCACTTGTTGGATTGGTGTCGAATTTTGTAGGTGGCGCCCAGGGAAGATCAAAACTCAGTAATATTAGTCCACCAGAAGCGGCTCGTTAACCATTACCCCACGTCGAGGTGACTGACTAGCAAAAGTTTTCGGTGTTGGGGAGAAATTAAAAACTGAACATTTTATAATGAGAAAAGGTTTATTTGTTTATTTATTTTTACTTTTTATTGCGTACAAGTATTTTTGGTGCACCTTCAAGAGTACCCAGCGAACAAACTGCATGGCTTCTCGAAAAAAAAAATCCGACAAATCCAAATAAATGGATAAAAATGTGGTTTAGGGGCTGTATTTCATCGGTACTGGTAATTATTTCTAAATTATAATTTCATTTCCCGCCGACCAGGGGATGAAGAACAAGCCCCGAAACTTGTTTTAATGCATTTTTTTTTTTTTTTTTATGATACCAATTCTACTCATTAGTGCATAGTCACGTGACCAGCCCCTGGATATACCAACTGGATGTGTGGCACTAAAATGTCTGGCACGGGGCCAGATGAATAAAAATAGCGCAAAGAAGATTGTGCTGCATCAGTTATGGTGAACTTTTAAATTTTGGTTTTCACTCGGATTCAAACACGCAAGGAAATGTGCAACTTTCTCACTCACATGGCAGAACAAAATATATCGAGTGCTCTTGTTATTTGCCGAGTCACAATCGACCTCAGAAATAATTCTTTAGCTTTTTTTTCCAGGCTGATGAAATTGGAAATAATGAATATAAACCGTCCTTTCTTTAATAATCTTGAAATGATTATTATTGAAGATTCTCAAAATCGTATGACAATATCTACAGTAAGAACAAATCTTACTATAGTGCGTTATTCATCACATATTCTTTTGGGCACCTCGAGGCGGTGTAATGGTTAGCAAGCTTGTCTTGCTAGAACTGCGTAGTGTGTTCGATTCTCACTGGGTGCTCCCTACTTTCGACCTTGTGCCACATCTAAGTTACGCTTAGAAAATCTTTTGGGAGCCCCAAGGCGGTGTAATGGTTAGCGAGCTTGTCTCGCTAGATCAATTACGACTAAATAGTGAGTTTGACCCTCACTGGGTGCCCTACGCTTTCGGCCTTGTGCCACATTTAAGCTACGCTTGGAAAATCACTATTCATCACATATTTTTATTTTACAATATATAGTTATTCTATTATATATCTCTATTCTATATTTCTATAATGTTCTATTTTATTATTAATTATTGTTGTTAATCTCTTATTGAGCCTATGGTATGAACGAATCTTCTATCTGTCACATAACATTTATATTGTTATATAGCAGTCGGCCGTAGTCGGGATCATCGAGTTAATGCGAACGAGTCTTTCCTTAACTGCATGACAGGGTTACGTACAGTTTTGAATTCGACAGGGTTACGTACAGTTTTGAATTCAGTGTTTTCCTTCTCCTAGACATGTTGCCATCCAAGGATATAGAAACCAGTCTCTTCTAATATTTACCCATAAATTGGGGGTGGGGGAGTTGCATTCTCTTTACAACGTAAGTGAATGTAACGAATTCGACTGGAATTCGAACTCGGTTCTCCGATTCATCAATTCGAGTGGCAATGCTCTACCATGCCTCCTTATATTGTTATAATTGTTCTATTTTATTATTAGTTATTGTTGTTAATCTCTTATTGTGCCTAATAAGATCTACGGTATGAATAGGACTGAGGAATCGGAGAGAAAATTCCAATCGATTCTATTACATTCACTTACCTGCTAATACCCTTGGGAAAGGTATGAATTCTTTTCTTCTCCCCAAGCTATGGGTAAATAGCAGGACAGACCGGGTTCTATAGCCTTGGCTGGCAACTGGTCTACTGCCGAAAGAATTGGCAACCTTCTGCGGGAAAAAAATCTGCCTCTTCAGTCATGTATCGAGAGATAACTGATCGCCTAAGCATGTTTCTCGCATGACACATAACTTACTGATGTTACATTTCTTATAACTATCTTTTTTTTTTAAATCATTTCGCCCTAAGCAAAGCAATAAAGCCACTAAGACGCAAGGGCCTTACTGATTTTGAGAGAATATGAGAAAATAAAACATTATTAAGAAAAGAGAATAATAAAAAGCATGAATTATGAAGACAAGATAATGATTGATATTGCATCTAAACTTTTGAAGATCAAAGTTGACAAGAAAGCAAGAAGCCGGAAGGAAGTTCCACAAGCGAGAAGATGTTAACATAATACTTACGGTTATATCTAGCCACTTCATCTGTAAAACGATGAGACCTAGCCGCCAATCTAGCAATACTCTTAATTTCATAAAGTTAATATACGAAAGAGGAAAGTAATATTTATTACTATGAAATACAGAAAATGCGGCACAAGGCCAAAATTGGGGATGAAGAGGCCGGTCTTCTTTTGTCCTGTATTTAAACAGCGAGCCACACTCACTGACCCAAGCAAACTATAATATTCCTTATACCAAAACAATACATTTTTACTTAACATTCTTACTACAGTCACTATAATGCCACAGTGTCTCTATGAATTACTAACTCGTCCTCGTATATACAATTTGTCCGTGGGGCGATAAATTAAAAAAAACATTAAGAAACTATCCCCAATGTGTGTTTACAATGTACAAAAATATTATCAGTATTTAATTGGATTGATTTTTATTCGTATCGAAAAGGAAAGCTCATCAAAACAGTTACAAATGGGAATATTTATAGGAAAGGCGCAGGGAAGCAACGTTATGGCGGTGGGAATAAAAGCATAAGGCTACATCATGCGCTTGCATCACGGCCAAAATGTGCGCGATATGGTGACAGGTTTTGATTGAAGCAACGCACAATCTTACAGACTTGAGGGAGGGTCAGTTAAAGATCCATTCAGGTCAGGTAACCCAGTCAGTACAGACGGTCTCCGATTGTGTGTGTTTCCAACCTTTCTTTGGCCATGCCCGACCTAAGCATCTCTAAAATCCTGAGGCTCGCCCTACCTCCGCATGAGATATAAGGGAACTCTTATTTACGCGTAGGAAGCCTAAAGATCCATTAACTTGGTCTAAACACGCTGCCAAAGAAGATGGCATCCATGAAAGTGAAAAATAAAAGAAGGAATGACAGTTAAAGTACTGAGGAAGAAACTACGAAGAAATTGGTAAATGTGTATGTGTGTGTGTGTGTGTGTGTGTGTGTGTGTGTGTGTGTGTGTGTGTGTGGATGGCATCTGTCGGCCTCGAGAAAGCTTGGATCTGTGCCCAAAGGGTTAATGCCCCAGCTGCTGATGGCGTTGCGGCATCTGTTATGGCCGTACAGGTCCACATGGAAGTGACAGTCTCTGTTGCAATAAATGCATGTGAAGACCATGTCACCTTGTTGTTTACTTTCCGTCGGCAAGCGTTCGTTTCTCTTCTCCTGACTTACCCTCGGTGTAAATCGCGTCTCCAGTGAGAACCATCGTTGGTGACGTCTTTCCACCTCTCGATATCACTGTCTTTCACCCTTATATATATATATATATAGTTTATGAAAATCCGTATGGGTAAACCTTAGGAGGATAAAATCCAGAGAGCTCAATGTAAATTCAGAGCAAATAATTTAAATAAAAACAGACCACTTTAAGGTTTCATGTAATAAATTATTTCACCACAGCCCTTTTAAAAGGACTGCGGATCATCAGACTTTACTTCCAAACAAAAAATTAAAAGAAAATTTTCACATTTTTGACGGGCCGTATTAAGCATATGTAAATTAACGAAGTGAGGGGGGAGAGAGAAGACATGAGTGAGTTAGCAGATATTGACACACACATATATATATATATATAGGATATATATATGGTATATATATAGGATATATATTAAGACATTTTTATGTTTATACATTCTTTTTATAGATACAAATATTTAAGTAAATGCTCTGTTTTATAATAAACAATATTAAACTACATTTACCGGCCTGAATGTCCGAGAAATTTTGAAATTTTCACGGAAAATATTCGTCCTCCGACAGGATTCGAACCTGCATACTATACGAAACCGTGCCTGTAACCGATTTGGCCACAGAGGAACACCCGGTTAGCAAGGTCGAATTTACTGTATTTGAACTTCAATCTTCTATGAATCTCTCACGTACATTCATATCTGCTGATGGCGTATCAAATGTAAAAAAATGACGTCACACATTATGGAAATTTTCACAGGACGAATATTTTCTGTGAAAATTTCTCGGACATTCAGGTCGGTAAATGTTGTTTTATACTGTTTATTATAAAACAGAGCATTTACTTAAATATTTGTATCTATAAAAAGAATGTATAAACATAAAAATGTCTTAAAATAATTGTCGGATTTTGTCCATTTCATATATATATATATATATATATATATATATATATATATATATATATATATCGCACAAGGTACTTCGGTTAAGGTTTTTTATTGAATTTTTCTTGTGTTCTTATAATTTTCTTCTTTTCTGGACATAACTTATATAGAAATTGTCCGAATGTTCTGTATCTCCGAGCGCTTTCGGCTACACTTTTAGCCATTATCAAGGATGATTTTATTTTTACTTTTAACTGAATCTATGGATTGTTTTATGTATGTATCTCGAATTATGGGAATGTCTTATTTTCCAACCACGGTCATCACATTGTGTCCGTGTTCATAGTCAATGTTAATGAGTGTTGAATTTTTCAGGTAAAAATGGTCCATCTTTAATAATTCATTCTCGAATGCTCCCCAATTAAATTGCCTCCCTGTGGGGCATGTGCCCCAAATTGAGAACCACCATCCTAGATGTAACTCCCAAGTCACCTTAGCCACTTCATCATTCAAACTTTAATAAACAAACCTCCCAACATTCGGTGATGATGATGCACAAGGAAGACAATTCTTCATTCTTTCGATCGAACTTGAACACCATTAACTCGTTTCTTCCATAACTCTCTGACTGAGGGAGCGACATGAAACATTGGATTTACCATGCTCTTTTTCAGTTCCTTTTTTTTCAATTCCTCCCACACTTACGTTGTAAGTACGATTCTTTACTAGTAGTCGAAACTCCTACTAATAAATGCCTTATTCAGCTAACTAGTATTGGTTGATCCATGTCTTGTAGTTGACTGTGTTGTTTCTTCCGCCATCGATTACTGCATATCAAGAAAATGCATCGGCTTGGTGATGCATGTCTATGTATGCAGTTGGAGAACTGTTACACACTACAGGTTTTTTTTATCATTTAGGTTTATGAGCCAAACAAAACCTTAGTTTGGTTCCTGTCTGGTTAGATTGGAAAGTTACTTAGGGTTATAAAAATCAGGAAATTGTGGAGATCCATAATCTCTTACGAACCGAAGAGACAACACATAAAAAAAGACAAGACTAACGATTGCATTATAGAAAAATAACCAGGTATTCTCAAGCGGCCGCCCATCTAGATATTGACCAAGCTCTACGTTGCTTAACTTCGGGGATCGGATGGTAACGGTTGTTTTAGCGTTATATGGCCGTATGCTACATTACCCGCACATCCAAGTTTACAGCAACTGGTGTTCCCATCACCCATCTAGATACTGACCTGGCTCTACGTTGCTTAACTTCAGCGTTTGTTCGGTAACCGGTGTTTCAGCATTATATGGCCATATACTATATTACCCGCACATCCAAGCTTAGAGCAACTGGTATTCCCAAGCGGTCACCCATCTAGATACTGACCTGGCTCTACGTTGCTTAACTTCAGCGAATGTCCGTAAGCCCATCAGCCATCAGTCTTTCTTACTAGTGTTAAGATATTGTCTATTATAATATCTGATGATTTGCGTATTGCAGTTTCAGTTCGTCCATTTTGTCTTTTTCTCCACTAGAAATTGAATTCAAAATGTGCTAATGACGTCACCTCTTGCATAAAGACAGCATCAAAATTTGCATTGTTCTATAATGAAATACACCCTGAAATCATGGCCCTGAGTGGAGGTTAATTTGTCCTATTTTCCATTTGAAGGTTGTTTCCGTAAATATGACTCATTCTTTTTTGTTTAACGTACTTTACTCGAGTTGGTGTGATTTTTTATTATCATTATTTTAAATTGCAGGACATTGGCCCGCGTCCAGTATCTCCTGATCCAAAGGCGAGTTGGATCTCTTTTGTACGTCAACCACCAAAGGTATCGTCGAAAAGGCCAAAGGTTAAACGAAGAAAGAAACCGATGGTAAGTCAATTGCATATGCCAAATATACTTTATTCAGGTGAAAATGTATAGAAATAACATTCATTTCTGAATTTTCAACGTTAAATCTCTGTCCAGGGTCATGCAGCATTTCACCTTTCTTGACATGGCATATTGAAAAACAACAGCGATAAAAAAAGAAACAAAAAGTTTTAACCCTTTTTACCTGTTTAGGATTGGGTTTTTGGTTCTTTTTAAATTTTTTTTTTCTTTCACCCACCAGTAGCTCCCTTGCATCTTAGTAGCATTCTCGCCTTGCTTGGGGTGAATTGATTGAAAATTAAAAAAAAAAAAGTCAGTAAAGAGCTAAATTAAGTCAACAAGGTTGCACTCTTAGACACATCGGACGCCAGTAATTTTAAATTTAAATTTAATGGGGCCTTGCATCGTCAGCGTTTCTCTCGATGTTTAATTATAACAGATATTTATTGTATTTTGGGTACCCCTTTTTACAGTACCCCACCCTCTACAGCACGATACAATCTTAGGTATGATGGTAAACTAAAACCGTCAGCAATGTTTCTGATCGGGAAATTGGAGGTTTTGGGTAGCGTGGAACCACCTCTTAATTGCTGTTGTTCCTAGATCCACCCTGACCCGAGTAGTAGCACCTGTTAGGGTCCCAACTATGGGCAAATAGTGACCCCCAAACAAAAACAAAATACTTTGTAAGTGTGAAAGTGCATTTTTGTGTTAAGAATACCAGCAATGCTTTTTTTGTATAATAAAATTACCAAGAATACATATAGAAAAATTACCAATAATATATGCTTATGGTGACGTTACCAGCAATACTTATAGTAAAATTACCAACAATACTTTTTAAAGTAAAATGACCAGTAATACATTTTATAGTAGAAATACCAATAATACAGTTTATAGCAAAATGACCATTTATTTTGTGTTCAAAATATATTTAGTTGAAGTCATAAAATTGTGTTCAAAATATTTAGATTTCCGTATTAAAAAACCCCATAGAGGCTGATATGCCGCTAAACAAAATCAACCAACCAACAGTATTATTCCATCAATAAAAAAGATTATTCAGTATGAAGAAGTCCTTTTGAAGGACGAAACGCGTTTTATACGTGTGGTATGGAGATCCATAATCTCTTACGAACCGAAGAGACAACACATAAAAAAAGACAAGACTAACGATTGCATTATAGAAAAATAACCAGGTATTCTCAAGCGTATTATAAATAACCAGGTATTCTCAAGCCATTATACGTATTCTGCATTTTTTAGGAATATTATTATTATTATTATTATTATTATTATTATTATTATTATTATAAATAAATAAATAAAAATAAAATATAAAATAAAACAATAATATTTAAACCTTGTTTAAAATAAATTAAATAAAAGTAAAAATAATACAATACTCCCAGCATGCAACAAAAACTGTTCCTGCCGGAAATACTGACATCCCGCCAAAAGACGTTAAATTCAATCTCTTCACCACGAAACTTGGTACAGGTAACACGTGTCCAACTTCTCTCTGTGATATAGCTTGTAATACTACGGAGTAAATTCTCCTTTTTATTACATGTACCATAAAACAATTGTAAACTAAAATAAATGCACAAAACAAAAATATAAATAAATTGTATGAAATTATCATGCACTTTACCATACTTTCCTGTTAGTTGTGTACATTTTATTTCCTATCAAGTATGCTTTTATCTTCGTGAACAAAAGGCTAATTTCTGCTGCTATGATGTGAGGGAACCGCCACAATTTAAATAGACTCAGCTCGGAAACACTACATTCTAAGTCGAATAAAGCCTCAGATAAGTTATACCTGCGTTTGTCTTCTCATAATATATTTTTTATATATTATATTTTCCTGTACTTGTGCTGTTAAATCTCTGCAATATATAGAAACCTTTTCTTTTTTTTTACACGGTTTGATTATCAACTTTCCTTGCACATAAATCCGATAGAAATAAATACAAATTGGGAATAGTAATGGTGAAATAGCTCTTTCCATACAAGAAACATTCGTCATTGATTGAACATTTATAAAAGCGCTTTCATAAAACTATTTTTTTAAGGAAAATAATATTCCCAAGCCCATTGTTATACCCTTTCTAGTATTGACGGGAATTTCCTTCCTAACCCTCTGTTTAAGATAGTATGGAATGTCAACATCTTGTTTATATCAATATTTTATCTTCTAGTTATATGTGTTATCCATTTTAGTAGTTGCTGCTGTTGGAAATCTTCGAGCAATTTTTTTTTTTTTTTATTTATTTGGTAAAGTCTTATTGTTGTAACCTGGGAAGGTTACTGAATAGAATGATCAAACGAAGGTTGATAATGAACGATAATACTTAGGACACGAACAACACATATAAGATTCGCCAGCGGCGCGTAGAATAACTAGTCAACTGCTAGAAGTGAGTCAAGTGAATTCCATAATGAATCTCTAACTGCAGGATATCTACCAACCGCCCGACACAGTCAAATGTAGCACAACGCCGAATTTAATGTGGGGTTTTCCAAGCCCATAGGCTCAGCCAAAAATTGCCCTTATAAAACGGGGGTCGGGTAGCTGTTTCCCGAGATGAGACTCTGCCCTTCAACATAGCCTCGTCTGAGGATCCTCTCTACCCAGAGTTTGACCAGCACAGCTGGAGACGAATCTCCAACTACAGGATATCTACCAACCCCACCTCGCGGCCAGATATGGCACAAGGCCGAATTTAATGTGGGGTATCCGAACTCGTAGGCTCGGCCAAAAATTCCCTGTATAACCCGTATAAAACGGAGTCGGGTAGCTGCTTCCCGAGATGAGACTGCCCTTCGACATAGCCTCGTCTGGGGATCCTCTACCCGGAGGCAGAGAGTTTGACTAGCACAGCCGGAGACGGATCTCAACTACAGACCAACATACAGTATTTACTACTGCATTTATGTGAATGAGGACATCCATTATCGTCCGTAGGTATGCTACAACACTTATGTTTCTGATTGTTTCTGATCGTGTAACACCAGTATAGGGTCTAATGAAGAATTTTCACCTTTAAGACCTACGGGATTCGCTCATTTAAGCTATTTTCAGATTATTGACATTAGAAAACGGTTCGTATATAATGGCTTAAATCAAACCGAATTTGGCGTAAATGAATCGTTTATCTCCAGTACACAAATATGGAATTCATGTACAGTTATTATAAACAAAATCTATTTGAACTGAATAAGTTTTATAACCACATCTACTGGGTCATAACCAATGATCTGGGGCAAGCGAAGAATATGATTTTTTTCCCACTTAAATAAAAGACAGCTGTTAACAACAAAAAAACCTAAGTCTCCAAATCTCTTCTCTGCGCGTGTTAAAACGAATTTTTGGATTCATGGAGAGATGAAGAAACAGGGATTTTGTTGATTTGCTGTTGAGTTCTTTTAGTTATTAGCTGCAGTCACAACAGTTTTAGTTTTTAAGTGCCACTTTTCTATTCTCTGTTCATTATCTATATATGTATAGATATAGCTAGTTATTATCTATTTATCGAGTCGTTATCCATCTAGTTAGTCATTATCTATCTCTCTCTCTCTCTCTCTCTATCTATCTATCTATCTATCTATCTATCTCAGTCCTCTCATATCTATCTATTTCAGTCTTCTCATATCTATCTATCTATCTATCTATCTATCTATCTATCTATCTAGCCGTTATCTATCTAGTTAGTCATTATCTATCTATCTATCTATCTATCTATCTCAGTCCTCTCATATCTATCTATTTCAGTCTTCTCATATCTATCTATCTATCTATCTAGTCGTTATCTATCTAGTTAGTCATTATCTATCTATCTATCTATCTCAGTCCTCTCATATCTATCTATTTCAGTCTTCTCATATCTATCTATCTATCTATCTATCTATCTATCTATCTATCTAGCCGTTATCTATCTAGTTAGTCATTATCTATCTATCTATCTATCTATCTATCTATCTCAGTCCTCTCATATCTATCTATTTCAGTCTTCTCATATCTATCTATCTATCTATCTATCTATCTAGTCGTTATCTATCTAGTTAGTCATTATCTATCTATCTATCTATCTATCTATCTCAGTCCTCTCATATATATCTATTTCAGTCTTCTCATATCTATCTATCTATCTATCTCAGTCCTCTCATATCTATCTATCTATTTCAGTCTTCTCATATCTATCTATCTATCTATCTATCTATCTATCTATCTATCTATCTATCTCTGTCCTCTCATATCTATCTATCTATTTCAGTCTTCTCATATCTATCTATCTATCTATCTAGTTATTATCTATCTATCTATCTATCTATCTATCTATCTATCTATCTAGTCGTTATTTATCGATCTAACTAGTCATTATCTATCTCAATTTATTCATACCTATCTATCTAGTTGTTATCAATCTAGTCGTTATTTATCTAGCTAGTCATAATCTATTTATCTGTCCATCTATATGTCTAGTCATTATCTATCTATCTATCTATCTATCTATCTATCTATCTATCTATCTATTACCTCCATGTCTGTCTGTTCATTATCTATTTATCTATCTATTCATTTCTCTTTTATTATGTCTTTAAGAATGCATAGGCCGGTAGATGTAATTTCCGCTTTTGACAAAAAAAGATAAAATAAATAAAACACGGCGTATATTTAAACACACGTATCCCCCCCGCGCCAAATAAAATAACGTTTAAAAAAGTTATTAGAAATAAGATCGGATTAAAAGTAAAGTCCATAAATTCCTTGGAAGTTCCTATGTGTCTATGTTTCTTCAGATCTTTGTCCACCCGTCTATTTCATTTTTTAAATATGTTTTGTTTATTGTCACAGGACACCGAGAGACTACCCCCATCACACGACCCCCGGGGAAGTTGGTTCTCATTCGTTCGACACTCAGTTCGGGCATCAAACAAGAAGTCAAAGAACAAGCGAAGGAAGAGGCCGCTGGTAAAAACGATATTTTTTTAAAATTATATTTGAAGTTTTCGTGTCAACACATTACCGTTTCCTGTCCATGACGACTTTGTAACGAAACCATATCGACACTAAAGTACACAGTTCCATTTCTTTTAAAAGCGGACACTGAATAGACATTTGCAAACCAGTTTCTAGCTGGAAACTTTTGAACACATCTAATAGAGAGAATGTTTACTTTTCAACTAGACCCGAGCAACCAATAAATATTATAATTATATTATATACTAGCAGTAGAGCCCGGCGTTGCCCGGGGATGTAACAATAAGAGATAGATCAAGTATCGACCATCATAAAGACTGAAAAATAAAATTGACAAAGAATGATTATTGTTTAAGGTTGACGGACACGCATGTCAAATTATTATTATTTTTTTTATTTTTTATTTTTTTTACGAATTGGTCAAACCCAAACGCAAACAAAAACATTGTTTTCAATCGTTATGAGTCTACCGATTGAATAGAATTTTATTATAAACAATTGTCTTGTAAATGGAATTTTTAAAGCATTCTGAATGTAAAAATAAAGAAAAAGTGTGCAAGACAATAAGAAACACTACCTGCCAAAAAAAAAAAGTGAAGTTTTGTTGAAATCGGTTGAAAAATGTAGGAAATCCGATCCCATATATAAACGAACACACGCACACACACGCAAACAACCTGGGTTTTATAATAAGTATAACTCGATATGAGTTGTCCCCTTTCATTCCGCAAAAGCGATGCCTCTTAATCGTGTTTTCAAATTGATTTCGTGCAAAAACAATTGTGTTTTTCCAATTTTTGGCGCTGTCAGAACCACCGCAAGGTAATTTTACGTAGTTTTGTTGAAATCGGTTAAAAAATGTAGGAAATCCGATCCAATATATAAACGTATACACACACACACGCACAAACACACACACACACACACACACACACAACCTGGGTTTTATAATAAGTATGATTTATTATAAATAAATAGTTGTTATTCATTTGGAACGAGGCCATAAATATACCGACACGCTTTCAACACTCTGCGTCTAATCTGGAGATCATCAACCCTCTAAGTATACAAGATCCAGATCTTCAACACCAACGTCAAGTTGGTCCTACTTTATGGCCTGGCGGTTAACTATGACCAACACCCACAAACTTCAGACATTTACCAACCGATGTCTCAAAAACATCCTCAATCTCAGGTGGTCGGAAGTCATCTCCAACGACCAACTGTGGGACAGGACCAGACAAACCCCAATCGAGATTGACATCAAGAAACGGAAATAGGGATGGATCGGGGACACACTCTGCAAGCCTGGTTCTAGTGTCACTAGGCAGGCCCTTGACTGGAATCCATTAGGGAAACGAAAAGTAGGTCGACCAAAACAGACTTGGAACTGAAGTGTTGACGCAGAGGTGAAGGCAGTCGGCACGACATGGGCCGAGCTGAAGAGGATCGCCCGGAACTGAAGAAGTGTTGCTGCGGCCCTATGTTCTCCAAAGAAAAATACAATATTTGTGGTTGGTGAAAAAAAAAATAGTTAGGCAAACCCCAGCCGCCACTAAAACGGTTCGATCCTCACCCCCCCCCCCAACTTTCATCCTTGTGTCAGATCTAAGCCACGCTTGGAAAATCATCATATAATTGTCATTTAACTTCTTTTTTTTTCTTTTTCCAGTTTGGCCCACCTGGACCTCCGGGTCCACCAGGTCCGCAAGGGTTGCCTGGTCCACCAGGCGCTGAAATTACGAGGGATGTGTTAATGCAAGAGTTTGAAGAGCTTGTCAAAGGTAAGACGTTATCGTTATCTCATTGAACCCTTAACCAATGCGTGTGGGTCGCATGTGTGTGCACTTCAAACGGTGTGTGGGGGGGAGAGGAAATTGATTTTTTTAATGTTAAATTTTTATGATTTTTCTGTTTTTATACAAAATCTAGGAAAGGGCAATTTTAACCTTTCTAGATTTAAAAAAAAAAGAGAAGAAAAAGAACTAAAGAAAATGTTGAGTTCCTAAATTTAATATTTTTAAGAGAATGATACTCCTCGAAGCAATTCATGCACAATTGAGTTGTGTTCATTCGTTGCGCCAAGTGTGTCAACAGTTCCCGCCTCTTTTTCTCTTTGAGAATATGCTTGCAAATATAGCATTGTCTTTTGGCTTGTTCTTGCAGCTTTATTTGCAGACAAATACTTCAGGAAATGATGGAACCCGATGAATCTTATTAAATGGTAATCTCGTGAATCTTGAGATACCAATTAGTTGTTTAGAGTTTGAAACATGAACGTATGATTTCCCGAATCGTTGGAGAAAAGGTTAACTCATCATTATCAGCTGATCTTCAACGAGACCTCAGTTGACGTAGACAGTCGCTTAAGGGATAAGCCACATCTCATATTAACTGAAAAGGATCGTTTCGATTTAGGAGGATTAACTCGGTTCAAATCAATTCATAATTCCCCTTCACACACACACACACACACACACATACACATGCTTGCGAGCTATTTACCTATATTATACACCCGTGTGTCTTATATGCCGTCAGATACGGTAATTTATACGAAAATATCCTGAAAAGGCATGGTACCTGGGACTAGAAGGATCTGCCCCCGTCAGCTAAACAAAAGTTTCGGTTAGGAATTCCAACGTATATCACCTGACGAAGGGCGGAACATACAACGGCCGAAACGTCGTGAATATGACAATAAAGATGAGGACAACAGTCCGAACGATGTAAATATTGTAAATAGTATAATACTCCTTGAAGCATTTCATGCAAAAGTCATACAACTCAATTCATGCACAGTTGAGTTGTGTGCATTCTTTGCGTCAAGTGTGTCAACAGTTCCCGCCTCTTTTTCTCTTTGACAATATGCTTGCAAATCTAGCATTGTCTTTTGGCTTGTTCTTGCAGCTTTATTTGCAGACAAATACTTCAGGAAATGATGGAACCCGATAGATCCTATTAAATGGTAATCTCGTGAATCTTGAGGTACCAATTAGTTGTTTAGAGTTTGAAACATGAATGAATGATTGCCCAAATCGTCGGAAAAAAGGTTAACTCATCATTATCAGCTGATCTTCAACTAGACTTCAGTTGACGCAGACAGTCGCTTAAGGGTTAAGCCACAGCTCATGTTAACTGAAAATAATTTCAGCACTTGAAAATGGCTTAGGCATGAAACTTGGAGTTGTACAGTTAATGTAAGATATTATGTATATTTCTTAATATATATCTGTGTGCGTGTGTATATGTGTGGAGGCGAATTCTGAATCGATTTGAACCGAGTTAATCCTACTAAGTCGAAACGATCCTTTTCAGTTAATATGAGCGCTTGACTTAGCCCTTAAGCGACTGTCTGCGTCAACTGAGGTTTCGTTAAAGATCAGCTGATAATGATGAGTAAGATATCATGTATATTTCTTAATATATATGTTAAACAGCTTTGTTACTTAACATTGAGCACTGCTTTTGCTTTCGCTTTCACTAAAGAGTATATGTAATTAACAATAAGTCATTTATATTTATAATAATACTAGAATTACCAATTATATATATATATATATATATATATATATATATATATTGTGTCTCAACGGCTGTGGTAGTGCTTGTCGCATCTCGCTTTCTGTTACCGCCGCTGGCCAGCAGAAATGCGAAAAGGGGAGCCGAGTGCGTAATTATTCCCCTGCTAGTATATAGCCTCTCCATCAGCAAGCCCTATGTAGTGCCTACTCGTGACGACACATGGTGACCGAACACCTTGCGGACTCGGGCTAAACTACACAGGGAAGGAGTTTAGCCCCCTTAACATGCGGCATGCAGGCCCACCAATGTGTGAACACGCCCTGGTGCCCATGAACCAAACCCCAGCTATGGGTTAAATAGCTTTACTGCCTTGTGGAAATCTTCGGGAGAAGAAAAGGCTTAAGGAGTAAACCCTACACAAATCCGGAGAGGATCCCCTAAGGCGGATGGACGGCACTCTGTGCTACCTTCCAGCAACTCCTGCAGCCGCGCTGGTACCAAACTGTATTGGTTTATCCTCTCCTTTGGACTCTGCTAGAAAGGCCGAGAAGGGGGAACTAGACGTCTGGACAGCTCTAGTTCTCTATACATCCCGCACAGGCTCGTAGCGCACTGGAGATGACACTCCAGCGACGTCGCAAGACATTGGCACAACACGGGAGGGCGATGTAACTCCATCGCCTAGCACCTACAGCGCTACTCCATCGTCTCCCGAGACGGACGGATCCCGATATATCTTAATTATTATAAAACGCAGATTGTGTGTGTGTGTGTGTGTGTGTGTGTGTGTGTGTGTGTGTGTCTGTAACGTTTATATATTGGATCGGATTTCCTACATTTTTCAACCGATTTCAACAAAGCTTCACAGGACTACATAACTAACAGCGCCAAAAATGGGAAAAATATAATTGTTTTTGTACAAAATCAATTTGAAAACACGATTAAGAGACATCGTGAAAATGGAAGGGGGACAACTCACATCGGATTTCCTATATTTTTCAGCCGATAAAACAAAACTTTTTTTTTTGGCAGGTAGTGTTTCTTATTGTCTTGCACACTTTTTTCTTTATTTTTAACATTCAGAATGCTTTAAAAATTCCATTTACAAGACAATTATTTATAATAAAATTCTATTCAATCAGTAGACTCATAACGATTGAAAACAATGTTTTTGTTTGAGTTTGGTTTGACCAATTCGTAAAAAAAAAAAACAAACAAAAAAAACTAATTAAGACATGCGTGTCCGTCAACCTTAAACAATAATCTTTGTCAATTTTATTTTTCAGTCTTTATGATGGTCGATACTTGATCTATCTCTTACTGTTATATCCCCGGGCAACGCCGGGTTTTACTGCTAGTATATATATAATTACCAATTATATATATATATATATATATGTGTGTGTGTGTGTGTGTGTGTGTGTGTGTGTGTGTTCTTGATTTTAAAGGTTGGTTTTTATGCTTTGAAAGCTTACAGCACGTCACCAATCTAGACTCAACGTTACGGGAACCGGTGTTTCTGCGTGATGTGGCCGTAAGCCCAGGAATCTCTAGATATAGAGACATGGTTAACATATCTGTTCTGGTGCACAAGCACCAGAACAGATATGTTAACCATGGTCACCATAGTAGGTAATCTGTTCAATGAAACAACGTTAAATATGTTCAATGAAACAACGTCACGAGTCAGACACTGTACTGAATCCGCCTATATCGCCAATACCACCAGCAGCTGTTCTGTAATTCTTCAGTCTTCGATATCAAAGGCTGGCTGTCAGTGAATATTCGGGAAAAAAAACATGGCTGCCTTTATACACGTCGCATTGAATATTTTGAGCCTTCTGATTGGTTAACCCTTCTATTGGCGAACTATATAATGAGTCAGCTAATTTTGGCTTGCTCACTAATACTAAGGTACCCAAAAATTCTAACAAAATATGGCAATAACATTCAATACGTGGACTTATAAAAGTCAGTTAAGTGCAATGTATGATACAAACTTGGGTGATCATGTCTCTTTCGATTCATGTCTGACTAGGCTGAACATTTCTTTCTGCGGTAGATCGGTTGCCACCCATGGCAACAGAACCTAGTCTCTCCTATTATTTAACCATAGTTTGGGGAGAGTTGGATTCATACCTTTCCCAAGGGCATTAGCGCGCAAGTGAAAGTAATGAATTCGACTTGAATTCGAACTCGGTGAGAAAATTGTTTAGCACGACACTGTGAACCATCTTTCAGCAGACTTAGAAACTGATTCAATATAATCATTTCAATTCATGTCAGTGGAAAACGTTATAAATTTCAAAGAATATTCTTAAGAGTCTTCGTAAATAATAAAGGAAAAGTTGAACTTACTCGGCTGGTGTATTAGTGAGCGGGTGATGTACTGTTTACGCTATGCAGCGTCTATTGCACGGAGCGCTAACTTTAGCGTCCTATCCCGATGTCGTCCCGCAATGAAAGAGAAGTAGCCTTTCAGGTTCATAGCATGCTTGCTCCCCGTTTTTCACGTTTATGCATGCCCCAAATCTGACATGAGGTTACTTCCGCTGATAGAGTTTTTCACGCATGCTACACTTTTAATATTAATTTCAATAACATGATTATATTCATTGCTGTATGAATTCAGTTTTAGTAGCGTAATACTCATGCTTATCGTTCAGCGGTTTACAAGGCTCAGTACAAATTGTCCCAGGAGAATCAATAAAATCTATCGAATCTTGTACATACCGTGGGAAGCGTAATAAATTCTAATGAAAAGGATGTGAAAATTCACATAGCCTGGGTCATCTTTAAATAAGGCACTGGTCATTATATTTGGAGCGGCGCACATACATAGTGGTGTCATCTATATATATATATATATATATATATATATATATAGATAGATAGATAGATAGATAGATAGATAGATAACTAGACTCGTTTTGAAAAACCCTCGAATTTTGATTTGCTAATCAAATCAATCTCGAGGAAAAAAAGGTTTTAAAAAAAGAAAGAGCTACAAACATGAACTTCTGCCGACAAAAAATCGCACAGATGCAGGTCTGAAGCCCAAAGAAAAACCCTGATACGAGTAACAAGTAACTAACAAAAGAGCTCAATACAACCGTAGAGCAGACCTAGATACACCTATATATATATATATATATATATATATATATATATATATAGCAACGAACTGAGTGTAGGCAGCTGCAATATACGCATATACAATAATAGTTAAGCCTGAGTCGTTTTGAATAAAATGGATGTAATCTGGAAATTTGATCTCCCAGACAACTTCGAGCGGAGATTCTCTCAAGCCACTGTAGAATGGGTGTTAACATATGGTGCCACTACCTGGACATTAACTAAAATCCTACAGTCGGACTCTACACTTGGATACTGAGAGCTATCCTTAACATCTCCTTAAGACAACATTCAAGTCACAGCTATATGGAGCCATTGCTTCTATGCCTACAATCTTATGTGAACTCAGAATGCACTTTGCAGGACACTGCTGGTGAACAAAACCAGAACTTGCAAGTGATCGACTGTTCTGGACACCTAGCCATGGAGCAAGACGTGTTGGTCACCCAGCATCCATCTACATTAACCAGTTATGTTATGACACAAAATACTTTCCTAATGAGTTTCCCACCTTGATGCAGGAATGTCTAAGCTAATTCAACCAAATAATAAAAAAAATAAGTCTGGATTTTAGTATCTTGTACAAGATACAAAACTTTGTTGCAACGGTCATCTGACTTTTAGATACTCTTGATTCCATTCTTCTCGCCATGTTGCATGTAACTTCTCCATCTTTGTTGCTAGTGTGGATTTTATTGTGGCATAGTTAAGGCCTGGGCCGCCTTGAATAAAATGGATGTAATCCGGAAATCTCGTCTACCAGACAACCTCAAGCGGAGATTCTTTCGAGCCACTGTAGAGGCGGTTTTAATGTATGGTGCCACTGCTTGGACATCAAGTAAAATCTTTGAGTCTAAGCTTGATGGAATCTACATTCGAGTGCTGATAGCTATACATAATATCTCTTGGAGACAACATCCGACTAAATCATACCTCTATGGACCCATACTTGATATTTCTACGATCGTATACGAACGTAGAATACGATTTGTAGGAGACTGATGGCGAGCAAAACAAGAACTCGTGAGTGGTTTACTGCTCTGGATACCCAGCCATGGCGCAAAACGGGTTGGTCACCCAGCAACAACCGATATTGACCAGGTATGTTATGACCTTCCGACCTTGATGCAGGGCCTTGATGGTTGCCGTGATAGACTCATGACCGTCCGAGATGACTCGACCGAATGAATAAGAAATAACATTCGCTACTAAAGAATAGTGTTATGGATTACACAGATATCTTAACTGTGTGTTATGGTCCAGATTAGGACCAAGGAAGAACAACACGAACACAAGAGTAGAAATAACGAAGGTATATTACATGAAATAATAATACAAGATAATGGAAGGTGTTAGTATGACTGTCAGTCTGGTTTGGAGTGAATAACTATCGGCTCGACTCGATTTGTTATTTACTTCCCCCTCCCCACGAGGGAAAGATGTGGCACAAGGCCGAGTTTTACGTGGGTTTTCCGAGCCCGTAGGCTCGACCAAAAAGTGCCCGTAGAAACTGTAAAAACAGAATCGGGTTGGTCAACCTCCCCGAACGAGACTCTGCCCTTCGGCGGAGCCTCGTCCGGGTTCCTCTCTGCTCAGAGGCAGAGAGTTCGACCGTCAAGCCGAGGGTTGCATATGACACAAGGCCGAGTTTAACGTGGGTTTCCCGAGCCCGTAGGCTCGGCCAAAAAAAGCCCGTAGAACCCGTATAAACGGGGTCGGGTTGGTCAACCTCCCCGAACGAGACTCTGCCCTTCGGCGGAGCCTCGTCCGGGTTCCTCTCTGCTCAAAAGCAGAGAGTTCGACCGTCAAGCCGAGAAGCTCGACTCGATTCGGTATCTAGCCCCCCCCCCCCACGAGGGTTGCATGTGGCACAAGGCCGAGTTTATCGTGGGTTTCCCGAGCCCGTAGGCTCGGCCAAAAAATGCCCGTATAACCCGTATAAACGAGATCGGGTTGGTCATTTCTCCCCGAACGAGACTCCGCCCCTCGGCGGAACCTCGTCCGGGTTCCTTTCTGCTCAGAGGCAGAAAGTTCGACCCTCTCTCTAGAGAGGCGTAGTATACATAGCGTTAGGAAGTGTTCATTCTGTAGTTATAGGTAAGGACCTATGACACTGTGTAAATCAAGTTCTTCAAATATTTCAAATAGGTCGTTTTGCCGTTCCTAGTCATTTTGTGTCATCTATGAAGCATACTTCGCTTTTAACAATTATTTTGCTATTCAAATTCTTACTCGACGTTTTCTTTTCTTTTGTAGCTGAGGCTGAGCGGAGGGCACAGCAAACGATTACAGAAAGGGTGAGTGGATTATCTTAATCATAGAAAAAAGCCTAACGTTAAAGCACACTTACCTTAAGACGTTAACACCCAAGCCTCGTTACTCTAGTTGTCTCAGGGTTGCAACTCTATATCTCAATTAATGTTTTGTACAAGCGACTTTGTTTTAACATTGTTTCATATATGAGGCAAGGATATCATAGGCAGTGTTTATTATCCACGACCCACCAGTGGGACGTTCGGTACCTGTGTCCATTTTACAACACAGAGTTCCACACGACCCACACGGATGCATGGTACAGCTCTGTGCATGTAAAAATAAAACAAATGATCCCCCCAAAAAAACAACGGTAAAAATTCCAAAAGGAAAACGAAATGAAAGACAAAAAAAAGGAAAAGTGTTTTAATTTGTAAAAAAAATGGTTCTGATCTCCTATGATCTCATAAGTAATCAATCATAGCATCCCACTCCCAATAGTCCCCGGAGAAAATAAACTGGAGAACGAGTCACCAGGGAGTCGTGTGGGGCTTGCTAACATACCCTCACCATCCTGGGAACCAAGGTGTTAAATGTGATTTCCCTGATGGAAAAGTGGAATACATGTTGATTTCTTGTCGAGCAGTGTATTTTCTATAGTAAGACTCTCGATCTTTAGGCCAGTAGACATTAACTGTATAAATAAATATAGCGTTTATAGTAATAATGTCGGATTAAAAATATCCTTTAATTGCTTCTATCTTTCTTTCTCTCTCTATCGTTATATATATATATATATATATATATATATATATATATATATGAAGAAATATACTCTTAAGGTGTGCTATATTTATGGGATAAAGTGCTCAATATCAGAGATAGAGCGTTTGTAGATATAAAAGTGAGCATTGAAGTCAACACGGCGACAGGTTGTTTCAGCGTCTAGCATGAAACAGCCTGTCGCCTCTAAGTGTTGACTTCAATGTTCACTTTACACACACACACACACACACACACACACATATATATATATATATATATATATATATATATATATATATATATATATATATATATATATATAATGTTAATATCTCTACTGACTGATGTAAAAAAAGCCCGGATAGTATAATTTGCAAATAAAAATATATTAAAACAAATTGGTATCTGTAGAAAAATTTGGAAAAAAAAAGAAAGCAGACTACAAACATCCCAGTATACCGAAAAAAATTGTCCAATGTCGTAATTTCTAGTCCAAAGAAGAAGAAGAAAAAAAACCAATCGAATAAAATAAGAAAAAAACGTAAAGTGCTCAATACACTAAGTAGAGAAAAGTATAAAAAAAATCATAGTGAGCCAGGTACTACCAACGTAGGTTTCACGTAAATGGATTTTCAGGATAAGCTGGCTGGCTTTGAAGATTCATTTAGGTGAAATGGATTTTCAGGTTAAAACAGCTTATGCAGAGATGTGAGCCTTTTCTGGAAACATACTTAATAGGCAATGTATTTCTTGCTTTATACTTAATCTTTTAAAAATCTCTATTAACTTTCATACCCTGTTTTCAAAGAAATTTTTATTTCAACTGATTGTTTTCAAATGTCCATTTTAAATAATTTATTCCGTACAGTACAAGGTTATTAGTGGAACATATCAATTGAAAAGTCGGGCAAATGAAATCAAAGAAAGTGGCAGCCTTAACTTGTCGACTGGAGGGTTTGGGGTAAGAAGTGTGACTGGGGTAGTGTTGAGGAAACTGATATCAGTCAGCAGTGGTGATCATAAACGTACAATCAATTAAACTAAAAATTCAATGACAGAGAGATACATAAACATACTAACGCATAGACATATATACAAACACACACTCGAGATAGATAAAAAAAAAAACGCTATTTGTACTTGTGTGGAATTTTTTAAAAAATAAATGTTTATTTTTATAGAATTATTACAATTAATTTTAAAATACCAAAATGTTTTTTTAATTTCATGCACAGAGATTTTTAAAAATTATATATTTGAATTAAAGTAAAAGAATCATTTTAGCATCTAAGTTATACCAATAGTATATTTTGTCAAAGATTGTAATGAGTCTGACAAACATTGATGACCTAGAGTCACCACGTATCATATATATATATATATATATATATATATATATATATATATATATATAAAGACATTTTTATGTTTATACATTCTTTTATAGATAGAAATATTTAAGTAAATGCTCTGTTTATAATAAACAGTATTAAACAACATTTACCGGCCTGAATGCCCGAGAAATCTTCACAGAAAATATTCGTCCTCCGACAGGATTCGAACCTGTATCCTATACGGAACCGTCATTTTGCTGGACGTGCCTTTAAATGTCTTAAAATAATTGTCGGACTTTGTCCATTTCATATATATATATATATATATATATATATATATATATATATATATATATATATATATATATGTATGTATGTATGTATGTATGTATGTATGTATGTTGTAAAGAAAAGGTTACTGAATGAGAATAACAAAACGGAGGTTGGAAATGAAATGGTAATCTTTATAATATCAACAAAATAGAATACTCGCCAGCGGCGTGAAGTAGGTAAACCACTGCTAGTGATGGACTACTTATACAGAATATTATCACCACTTACATAGTGTCCAACGTATTTATGAGGATTGGGACTATTAGTGTTCATAGGTACCGTATATAACAATATATATATATATATGAAAGAGAGAGAGAGAAAGAGAGAGAGAGAGACTCATCATTACTGATTATAAAATAATCTGGGTTGTGCTATAAAAAGCAACCAAAAATAAAAGCTTAAAATTAATAACAATATCTCATTTAGGCAAAGAAATAAGAATTGAAACGAGTTTTTGAATCATATATTTTTTGTTGTTTTTATTTATTCTTTCAATGCCAAATTCTCTATTTTAGTGTCCTGAATGCATGGGTCTGGCTAACTGGACCTACGTAATGCCACCCGTTTCTGATTTAGACGAAGTCTATATCATTCCTCGCTTGACAGCCGGTTTCCACGTTCAGCTCCGTGTTGACAACGTTGTTTCACGCCGGACATTCATGGAGCTCAACAGTTTTCACCAGGTAACCATTCTCTTAGATTTGATTCTTTCAGTCAGTTGAGAGTCAGGGGTTAAACATAGTGGCAGACGGATTGTTCTCAATATAAATACACTGGGACACAAATAACTCCGGGAAGAAGGCAAATCTGTCATGTCGCACCGCTACTGATAACAGAGATGAAGCAAAACATTGGAATAAAAGTTGTTGCGGGGAATCACCACTTTCGTTGCGAGGGTGTGGACGTTTTTCTGTAAATATTTAATGACTCCTGATATATTTTGTCCCGCAAACAATATCTGGCGGACTCATGTGAGTCCGGATAAAATTAAGAAGAAAAAAAAAACCGCGGATTTTAAACAAACAAGAATTAATGCATGAATAAACAAAAATAAATTATATTAATATATACACAGTTAAAAGGAAAAGAAAAGACATTGAACTTAACTATTAAGAATGGTCTTGTTTTTGTGAGTGATACGAGTGTGTGTAAGAATTCAGTCGTCAGTCAACCGGGGAAACGAACTTGACCCAGAGGGGACGTTCTAACGTACGTCTTGCTACATTAAAATTTTATAACAAAAAATTCTTATAAAAGTTTAATAAAAAATTTTTTCCAAAGAAAAATAAACCTTGATTTGTTTCGAGATTAATTTTTTTACCTTGTTTTTTTTTTTTTTTGATTTTCTTTAACTCACTGGGCTTCGTCAAACGACTCTTTAGGCGGCGCTGTTTAAGTCGCTAAAAATAAAAAAATATTTTCTTCCTCTTTCTTCAAGATGTATCAGTACTTAGGTGAGGACGTCCACGTACGGTCGATTGAGGACTGAAATCTCTCGTGCACGCACGCACGCACGCACACACACGCACACACACACACACACACACACGTACCTTCTTTTAATAGCTAAGTTTTTTCCTTTCCTTTCAACTGTGTACACATTAATGTAATTTATTTTTTAGACACATGCGCTAATTCTTGTTTGTTTAAAATTATTGTTTTGTTCAGTAATAGCCTTAAATACTTGTGAAACTTTTAAAAGTTCAAATGATAACTCCTTTTGTGCAAGCGTTCACTTAAAAGGTAAATGTTAATAATTACAGCCTTAAATGATACCAAAGACGGTGGAAAAGTAGTTCACACGGTGTCATGGCTGTTTAAATTTAGAGAGAAAAGTAACGTAACCCGAGTGACAGTTGAAAAAACAAAATCTCTCGTCGAAGCTATATTTTCTGCTTACTTGCAGGCCAGGGGTTGGCAACCTTTTGTTAACTATGTACAGACTTAAGGTTTTAAAATCATTCAGTGTGCCAACAGAATACGTATTTCTAGACAAATCAAGGTCATTATACCTGTTCTACAATATATTTTATATAGTAATATATAGTATATATACTTTAGTACATATTAAAATTGAAACAGCTAAATATATTTTTTGCGTTGTAGTAGTTATTGGTTCGGACATCGTAATTTTGTCGAAGGCCTTCGTTTGCCGTAGCCGGACTCCCGTAATGCGCCTTAAGAGGCATGTGCGTAAGTCCCGTAGAAGGCCTTCGTTTGCCGTAGCCGGACTCCCGTAATGCGCATTACGAGGCATGTGCATAAGTCCCGTAGAATCGTTAAATGCCTAAGTTCGTCGAATGCCTTCGTTTACCGTAGCCGGACTCCCGTAATGCGCCTTGGAAGGTAAGTGCGTAAAGTGCGTAATTTTGTCGAAATTGGAAATTGCTTGGCGTGCCATGTGTGGCACGTGTTCCGTAGATTGCTGATCCCTAGGCTCCAGAAAAAAATTGCTTTTAGGCGAGAGGAGTTTCCAGACATCTTTTTTTTCTTTTTTAACCGGAAGCTATGCGTCGAGCCACTTACGCAAACACGAGTTTTTTTTTCTCTCTACTTTTTATTACGGAAACCAATGTTTTTGTGCCATGTGTTTTTTTTTTTTAAGGATTTTAGCCCAAACAAGGTTAAGAGGATACTGAGTGATAGAGAGTATGCGAAAAAAAGAAAAAAATAATATTAAGAGGAAAAATAACAAAAGAACACTAATTAAGAAGATAAGACAAAGTTGACTGGAAAGCAATAATCTGAAAGAGAGTTCGAGAGGCGAGAAGTGCGAGAGAAGAAACTGTTAGCATAGAACTTACGGTCATATCTAGAAATTTCAATTGTAAAATTATGAGACCTTCTCATCAATCTAGTACTGCGCTTAAATTAATAATGTCTAGGTAGCATAGAGTAAAGTTCGTCTAAACAATTACCATGAAAGTATTTATAGAAAAAAGCATAGGGAAGCTACATTTCAGGGGTTGGAAAAGGTCGGAAGCCGAGATAAAAGGTCAGGATCAATAATATTGCAGATTCTTCTTTGGATTTTATCAAGAAGGTCTAAATCTATAGCAGGGGCACCAGGCCAGATGTGACAGCAACATTGAATGGATGGACGAATGGTAAAATTATAAATGTGTAAGATAAATTCAGGAAAGAAAAATTGTCTATCAGGATATAGTGAACCAATTTTCCTTGCAGCAGACGAAACAATCGATTCAATATAATCTTTCCATTTCATGTCAACGGAAAATGCAGGCCAAAACAAAATGGAGAGGTTGAGAATCTTGACTTGGATCATAGGGAGAAGTCGGGCACAGGCCGGGAACGACACTTACTCACATTAACTAGGTACACAAGAAGAGTCTCTTAACCAGCGGAGAGTTCCACAGGAAATCGCCTCGTGGTGACTTAGAACTTAAAAAAAAATCAAGGCTAGCCCGTTCACGCGAACCAGGCTCGCCATAGTTACCCACCTTTCGCTAAAATCCGTCAAAACCAACTGCTTTTAACCTTCATTCTGAGCTGATGTTAAAAGAATATGACCAGATCCTGATGAGAATAGTGAGCACATCGCAAGATTTGCTCCATCCGCATCGTCCTTTCAAGATAGAATACTCTGTCATATATTGTGGTAAGGGAAGAAATTCAGTGTTTGGTCGTAAATTAAGGCGTGTTCACTTCTCTTAGTCCTGTTAATAATCTATACAAATGTCTGTCTGTGTGTCTTTTTATTTAGACAAAATTAGTTCCCAAGCTCTGCTAGTAATAAATAAATATTTGCTATGTGAATAAATTAATTCTAATTTAATTAATAAATTTAGCACTAATTTAATGCAATTAATAAATTGAATTTCAATTTAATAAATTGAATTTCAATTTAATAAATTGAATTTCAATTTAATAAATTTTTATCATTTTAATTAATATATTTAATTTTAATTTAATTAATAAATATTAATCATTTTAATTAATAATTTTAATTTAATTAATAAATTTTAATTATTTTACTTAATAATTTTAATTTTAATTTAATCAATAAATTACAATCATTTTTTTTTAAGCATCACACCCCAAGCAAGGCAGGAGTGCCACTAGCACACAAGGGGTTACAGCGAGTGGGGGCAAGAGTAAAGAGGCATGATAGAGGAAAGAAGGACGGCGAATAGATCAAGGCATCTGGAGATGTCGATTGACATTGCATTTGAATAGTTGAAGATTATAGCTATCAGGGAAGCAAGTAAGAGGAAGGAACTTCCACAGACAGGAAGTGCAAGATATGAAGCTATTGAAGTAGAAGAGACGGCTAAGGGTGGGACTGAGATGCTAAATTAATAGCAGGTTTAAATTTATGCAGTTTGGGGACCAGCGAAAGTAGCTCGTCGGAGTAGTTACCGTGAAATTATTTTAATTAATAAATTTAATTTCAATTTAATTAATAAATCTTATTTTAATACATTTTATTTTAATTTAATTAATAAATTTTAATAATTTAAATTAATAAATTTAATTTTAACTAAGTAAATTTAGCAGTAATTTCATTTAATTAATAAATTTCTTCATTAGTAATTTACATACTGATTAACCTACGTACTTTTTCTCTTCTCGAGAACAGTTGGCTTGTGTACAATGCATTTGGTTGCTTTGTTGCTTGCACTGTTCCTAGTGACTCACTGATCCTACCCAGTCGTGTCTATTTTTGTCTTACTGATTTTTAAAACTTCTAACGCGTTTATTTTATTTCTTTACCAGCCTTTTGGTGGTGGGACGTTCGAACGAGGGACGGTCTTCAATGGACGAAATGGTAGATTCACTGCCCCAAGATCCGGCATCTACCACTTTTCTTCCAACTTGCATATTTCCAGAAAGCGTTCCAAGAAATCGTTACGGCAAAAAGACAACATTCGAGTGCAAATCTGTATAGAGTCTCTTTGTAAAAAGTACAGGTAAGTTGGCTTGGGTTGGGTTGGATTGGTTGACTCTAAAATATATCAACCCTTGTAATGTCGAAATGAGGGTAAGTATATATATATATATATATATATATATATATATATATATATATATACTTAATACTTCGCAATGATTCTTCTCCCCTGATTAGCGATTTGCAAAAAACCAACATAGTTTATAAATTCAAGTGCCCTTTGGGAGAGTGTATCTCCAACGAATTAAATAATATTTATGTTGGTCACACCACAAACTCGCTTTCACGACGCTTGACACTACATCTTAATGAAAATATGCAGTAACTCATCTTTACCCCCACTTAAAATTAATCCTAATATATTAAGAAAACTACTATTAACTTGTACTACTGAAGTCCCTTTCTTTGATAATAATAACAATATATATATACAACGTGATGGTGTCTCCATGGGTTCAGTATTGGGCCCGACATTTAGCAATTTCTACATGTCGAACCTAGAAAATAAGTTATTTACAGATTTTAAAAACCATCAATCTACCTAAAGATACGTTGATGATATTCTTATGTTAGTTAAAAATACAGATGAAATAATTCAACTTCAAAAACGGTTCCAAAATAATTCTGTCCTTAAATTCACATATGAACTTAATACTAATAATAAAATCCCTTCCTTGACATATTAATAAACACAAATAATAACAAATTTACTATTTCGCCATACAAAAAACCTACAAGCATAAATTCATGTACACTTAACTACAAGAGCGAATGCCCATATTACTACAAAATAGCAATTATAAAGAATCTAATACATCGTGCAAAAACTAATTCATCCACCAAACAGATTTTTTACAGTGAACTAAAGAATATAAAACAGACACTTATTAATAATAGCTTTCCAAACTATATAGTTGATGAACAAATAAGATGCTTTCTTAGAAATCTCAATAATAAGCAAATTGTACATTATACTGCTTCTACTGATCTCAAATATATTAATCTCCTATATCGTAATCAAATGCATACTAATTATAAACAAGATGAACACATACTAAAAAATTTAGTAAATTCTAATATATCAACTACAGATCCTAGCAAAAAAATTAAATTAATCATATACTACACTAATGATTCTTCTCCCCCGATTAGCGATTTGCAAAAAACCAACATAGTTTATAAATTCAAGTGCCCTTTGGGAGAGTGTATCTCCAACGAATTAAATAATATTTATGTTGGTCACACCACAAACTCCTTTCACGACCTTGACACTACATCTTAATGAAAACTCTAACATTTTTAGGCATTTAAAACAACATGCCTGCCTGCACACACAATTCCGTAAAATACTTGTCGAAAACACAACTATACTTCGACATGAAAACAATAGACAAAAACTAAAAATACTTGAAGTATTATACATCAAACAGTTAAAACCCAACCTAAACAAAATCAATCATGGCATCTCTACAAATATTCTTAAATGTCTATAATTTCAATAATTGGTAACAGAAGCCATTGGTTATACCAACGGCTTTCCTTATTTCATTCTCCAATTCACTCTTGTGTAGTCATGTGTGACGTCATGAGATGCGGTGCGATTTTCGCTTCTAGCGTCTTATATGCGTGTGTTCATCGTTGCTTAGTGATCCACTATGTAAACAAAACAATGACAGACTATATCATCACTGTTGTGTCCGTATATTGTTTGATATGTTTGTATTTACATCTTTGATAATGGCTTGAGTAAGCCGAAAGCTTAGATTTTATTAAAAAATAATGGATAAATATTGTGAATTTCTTTTTTCGGTTAATGATAATGTTATAAAACTTATCAGAAGATACGAAAAAAATTTACATAAAATAAATAGACAACACTTGTCTATATTATTTAATGAAACGTGTATAAATATATATATATATATGAAAATTTCTCTGATTTAACCAGTAGAGAAGACAATATTTATGAATAAAAATGACAATAGGAAAACTGGTAATTGCTGACGCGTTTCGTCCAATGTGGACTTTATCAAAGCAAAATACGAAAATGAAATTAATTGAATAAAGTAACTAAAAAAAAACAAAAACAGAATGTACCTAGCAACTGGAATGTAGAGAAACGCTATTTTCATATTTTTAACTGAAAAATGACGTCAGTATTTGTCACTTGTGGAGAATATTGTCATTATATCTGTGTTGGTGTATTCAACCATTTTCTTTTGATTTTATGAATCTGTTGTGTATATTTGTTTGTAAGAGCAGTAATTTTGTTAAGAAAGGTGAAATGGGGAAAAAACCTGGGCGTAGATTAATATTTGGGTAATTTTCTATGGCGGCACTCTCCAGAATTTTCCTTCAGAGTGAGTTATTTTCTTTTTTTATGAGTGTAGCATTTTTAAAATCAAAATTATGGTTGAATTTATTTCTATGCATAACTAGTGCATTAGTTAAGTTTTTTTTTGTGTGGTCTCTTTTGTGCTTATAAATGCGTTTTTTCAAACTTCTACTTGTTTCTCCAATATATTGGGAGGAACAGTTTTGGCAATTTATTTTATAAATGCCTGCTTCAGAAATATTAGTGCTATTATTGTTTGAAGATCTTAGTATATCTATAATGGTTTTGGAAGTGTTTGTGACTATTTCAAGATTATTTAGATGGGATAGGTTATTCTGGATCGTGGACGTGACAGAATTGGTCGGTAGGATTATGGATCTGTTTTCATGTGATTTATTATTGCGGATTATGTTATTAGTTTTGTTTCGTTTGTATATTTTGTATGCCTTTCTTGCGTTGTGGATGAAATGATATGAATATTGTATATATATATATATATATATACTTACCCTTTCTTAAAAAAAAATTTAAATCTTATTAAATTTTTAAATACTTTTAAGTAATTTTCCTTAATAAACTAGACGCTAATATTTTAAATATAGGTCAAGGTTATTTTAACCGTCTCCTTGATTTAGACGAGGCACTCCCACCTTTACTCTCATAATATTGGGGTTTGTTTTAAAATTTCATCTGCTACTTCCTTTTTATTGTTCTCCCTTTCTTTTTTCTTTTTCTTCTTTTTTTCTTTCTTTCTTTTTCTGTTTTTCTCTCTTCTTTTATTCTTCATATGTTTAAATTTTTAAGCTCCTGTTTTATTTCTTCATATCTCTGAGTTGACAAGGCCTACAAATAAGTCTTGTGGGTCGAAATAGCTATTCGAATGAGGTAACTTTGGATTTTTATTCTATGTAAACACACACACACACACACACACACACACACACACACACATATATATATATATATATATATATATATATATATCCGATGCAATGAGAACGAAAATAATATATAAATTCTAACGTTCACAGCATTAATTCAAAAGTTAGCTCAATACCGATAGTATTTATTATAATTTTTTCCGTATCAGTCTATATTTCTGAGATGAGGTATTATGTACATTATTTACATTATTCGGACTATTGTCCTCATCTTTGTCGCCATATTTATTACAACGTTTCGGCCCTTCAGTATCTGTCTATATTTTTGAGATGAGGTATTATGTACATTATTTACATTATTCGGACTCATCTTTGTCGCCATATTTATTACAACGTTTCGACCGTTGTACGCTCCGGCTTTCTTCAGGTGGTTGGAATGTCGAACTGAACTCTTTAATTTCGCTCACTGGGGTAGACTGTTCTAGAACAGTTCGTCATTCCAACAGCGTACAACGGCCGTAAATTAAAGCGCTCAACACCTAGTGGCTTCATTGCCTTGCCTGGGGTGAAATGATCAAAAACATCTTTATAACCCGTGACCTTGTGCCTGACTAAATTGCGCGTCGTATTTTTTTCTGAGATAGTTAACTTATTTTCTATCAGTGTCGGAAGTTGGTGTCTGTACACAGGTAAATACCCTAGATTTCTAGTGCTGATTTTCAAGGCAGGCGAACAGGCTTTCCATAACTGGAAAACATAATCTTCCCACACCGTTTTCCCCATAAATTAAATTACAGTACCTATCAGAATTTAGTTAACGTTTGTTCAATTATAATTAATTATTTTGTTTTATTTTCTTGTTTCAGTTCACTCGAACACGTCGTCGGGCTTGAGAGTAACAGTAAAGTTTTTACTATTAGTCTTTCTGGTCTGTTGTACCTCCAGGTAAGAACTGAAAATTGAACTTTTTGGTCAATTATATGATACGTGTAGTTAGGAGTTTGTCGTAACACTGTCTTTACAAAATCTTTCTTCCTAACAGGTAGGTCCATGAAGATCGTTGTTTAACAGCCAGTCGTCCGAGGCCCATGAAGTCAATCCAGGGTTCCCCCAAGGCTGACTTCTCGGTCCTACGTTCTTTATGTTAATAATAAGCCCAATAGTATACCCCGAACTCTAGTGAATATCTACGCCGATGATACAACGTTGTATGGGTGCACCTCCCAAAGTCTAAATAACCACAGCCTGGCAGGAGGTTTCACCTTTGACCTAAACCTATCAACGGGATAATTCAATAACCATACTAGTAATGATCCATCACCACCAAACAGGCCCTGAATTTTCGCCTGTTGCGACAAATGGGTTGTTCTCCCAGGGAGGCCTCCTTGAACGCCTATAGCTCACCCCAGACTTCTAGCTATTTCAACTGTAAATTGATGAAACCTTTCCGCCAATGGGGTACTATGCTTAAATTCAGGACGTCTAGGTACCGTAAGTTCATCAAAACAATTACCATGGAAGTATTTATGAAAAAGGCACAGGAAGGCTACGTTGGTGGAAACGTGACTGAAGCCGAGATGCCAGGTCAGGACCAGTTATATTGCCGATTCATCTTTGGATTTTATCAAGGATCATAAAATATATAGCAGGAATACCGGATCAGATGTGGCAGCAATATTCAAAGCATAGACTAATGGTAGACTTATAGAGTCAAATATTCAAAGAAATTAAAAACACACGAAACAAATTCTCTTGAATGGTTAAAGAATTGGTCGAAAGATCTTGGGACAATAAGGACAATTATTGCACTCCCTTATTACGAAATTCTTTCATAATGTGTATGTGCGCGTTCTCTCATGCGCATGCCTGTGCGCATGTGCGTACGCGTAGAATGTCGTGGTTATTTCTCGTGTTTGTCGTTTTTCTTGTTACTTGATGCCCTCATTGGTTTCATACTTGATTATTATGCGTGGAGTTCAGTTGAGTGAGAGACCATCAAAACTCCTTGTAACGCCAAAGATTAACAGAAGACAACGATTATGGTAGCATTCACCAACTTAAACAAAGAAACCACTCAGAAGATTTGCAGATTCTGAAGTCGTCTGGAGGGCATGGTTAAGGTCAATGGCGATTTTTTAAATAAATTCATTCTTTAATATTTTTGTGTAATTTCGGTAAATATATGTTAAAATTAGATATTATTGTTAATTTTTGCGTAATTTAGACGGCAATTTATCCACCACCCCGTCTTTTTAACAAATACTTTCATGGCAATTGCTCCGAGGAGCTGCATTCGCTGGTTCCCAGACTTCATGAGTTCAAGCGCCTTACGAGGCTGGCATCCCGCTCTCACCTTTTCACTGTCGAAAGTACTAAATGTAGCCGTCTCTTCTACTCCAAAAGCTTCATATCTCGCACCTCTCGCCTGTGGAACTCCCTTCCCTATTCCAGTTTCCCTGAGAGCTATAATCTCCAGCTATTCAAATGTAATGTCAATCGACATCTCCAGTTGCCTTGATCTATCCACTATCCTTCTCCTCATCCTTTCCTCTATCAGTCCTATCTGATCTTGCTCCAAATCTTCTGTAACCCCTTGCGTCCTAGTGGCTTCCCGCCTTGCTTGGGTTGAAACGCTTAATATATATATATATATATATATATATATATATATATATATATATATATATATACTCAAATGGATAAATATAAATTTACGTGTAAGTGTTCATCACACACACACACACACACACACACACACACACACACATATATATATATATATACCTATAGTTATAAAAAAAAAAACAGTGCCCAATGATAAATAATAGAGCTATTAAATATATATTAATAAATATGCATAATACCCCACATCGACAGTACAACACGGAGTTTCTTGCCCTATGCAATCATCAGGTACTCAAATCAGTATCTGCTGACTGCATAGAGCATGAAACTATATATATATATACATATATATATATATGTAAGTCAGATTTCGTTAAATAATTTAGACATGTTCTGTTTACTTATTCTCCATAAGATCCTTTTATATTCACGAGGATTTTTCTTGTCGAAAACACCTCCATACTTTTCCACGAAAAGAATAAACACAAACTAAAAGTTCTCGAAGTTATTTATATAAAAAAAATTGAAACCAAACCTCAATAAAATTAATTACGAATACACTACAAACATAGATTTTCTTTAAATGTTAGCGCTTGTCATTAATAGTTATCCCTTTATCTAGCAAATACTCAAGTCCGGAATTTTTCCACAGCATACCTAGTTACCTCCCCTTAAACGGAATCCGTCACCCAAGCCATGAGACAGCGTTCCTGACTTCACATATAAAAATGGTAATTTTCGAATTACCACAACAATTTTTGTCCTTCACAGCCATGAACACTAAATACTTTATCTATAATTAACAATACTCTGATGATGACATTATGCTATGTCGAAAGTACTCGGAAATAAATACAATATGAGCCAATACGGTATTTTTTTCTCGTCTTTTAATATCCGCACAAAAATGGTTATCCGCGAATATGAAAGGATCCTATCGAAAATCTTAAAAAAATATACACTAGAAACATCTGACAACAGTTTTATAAATGAGGATCACATCATTCAATGGATTAACAGTATTTTAATGCATATATTATGTTCTACTAGCGAAGTGATTTCGCCATTAATCGCATTAATATTGCTGATTGATTCTATGTATGATTATTTCTTTATACATAAAATATATGCTGCCTAATATATATATATATATATATATATATATATATATATATATATATATAGTCAAAGGCTAGTTAAAATGTATGTACTTGCTTGATTTTAATGTAATAAACCGTGTTTTTCTTTCTGTTTCTTTCACAGCGCAGTCAATACACATCCATCTACATTGATAATTCGTCTCGATGGTCGATTGCAGTTCAAAGTGGATCAGACTTCACAGGTTATTTAGTAGCAATTTAAAAAAAAGTGAATACGGAGAGAAAGAAGAGAAATAAAACAAGACAGGATAAAATCTTAGATGAACATTTTAATAGATAAATAAAATAATTGTGTTCGGAGACATGTATTGTAGCATATTTCTATTTCTATAAACGTAGAATAAATGTTTACTGATTTTTTTTTTTATGAAAATAATATCGTCACGAAAGACAAGAAAAAGAAAATGAAAAAAAAAAAGAAAGAAAAGGAAATTGTCACCTACAATAAAGATAAAAAAAATAAAATAAAATACACAATAGTCTTCTTACGTTACGTGAATTTCGTACCTGAAGCATTGCTATTTATTTTGAATATTTTTTTTATTACTTTTTTGTATCTACTGAGCTATTATCTGTACCAACTTACATGTTTCCATCAAAATGATACGGAACAAAACCGAAATATATAAAACAAGCTGAAAATTTAAATATTTATTCCATAAGAATAAATGGGAGGGGGCGATTTTTCTGTTAATTCATCCCAAAATAGAAATAAAATTGACTAAAATTTACATCAAATTCTCCCAGCAGTTCATTACGTTACAATTGTTCTCGAACGACAGAAGTTTAAATACGACCCCATCTCAAACTACTACGGCTGTTATTAGTACATAACAACATTAATTCTGAACCAGGTTGACCTTTGCAATCGCCCTAAATGTGGGCCTACTCGGGTGCCCTTTTTACAAAGTGTGGGGTTTTTGATCGTGCTCAACCTGATAAAAAAGGCCAAAGAATTATTTTTTTTTTATTTTTAAATTTCAAAAAGATTTTTTAAAAGTATCCGCACTTGTGAAATGTGGATAACTCTGATTTTTTGGTAATTTTTCATTCTGAGGTTTGGAGTTGTTGTGAGGCAAGTTAAACAAATTTTGATTTAAAATTTATTTGAATCAACAGAAAAGATCCTTTTTCGGGGGTACGATGGGGAAATACTTCTTCCTTTACCTTTCTTCTTCACGTGCCGTGTTCCCCTTAGGACGTAGACGATCATGGCTCTCCACAATTTCCTGTCCTTAGTAGCTCTTAATAAATTTTGTCATTTTTTGTTATCCTTCCTAAACCCTGTGTAGGAGATCGAACGGCCTCAATTCAATCCTTACTATTTTTACTTTCAACAAATGTACTGTAGTGATAGGGTTTTACTTTTATTGTTTATCAGCGTAATCACCATATTACCATTGTTGTTGTGAAAGTTGAATGACGAACGTCGCGGTCATCAATGTTGATAGAGTTACCAATATTTAACTTTGGCTAAGAAAGATGAGATTAAGGACAATGCGTGAAAGCAATGCAATTTATATTTGACGTAAATAGCACATAGAATAAAATACAAAACTGAACTGAATGATTCCAAAACATAACAATTAAATTTATTAATGTTTGATGTACATGCATGCGAACTGAAAAGGTAGTACAGAGTCGTGTCCCTTTGACTTGGTAATATTTGTACCGGAGTTCATATTAAGAAAAAGTAGTATTGAACTTGTAATTTAGAAGAATAAAGTTTGGAATTGAGTTCTAAAGTTGAAAAAAATTCAGGAGTGATTTCAGAGTTCGTGAATATTGGTAATTGTCTTTAACGTCTGGTCAGCAATGATTAAGACGGAAGTTGGTGAAGGCTACATCTTGGCACTTGGTAGCAAGGAATGAGACGTGCGAGAGAGATAAATGAAATGAAAAGAAAGCTACTACTCAAAAAGTTCACACGTGTTCGGTTTATATAATGGCCGTGTACCACGTGGGAAGCTCAAACGGAGAACGCGGGAAAAACAGATTGGTCGCGTGCAGGCGGTTTGATTGGTCGGAACTGACCAATCAGCAAGCAAGATTGGAGGTGATTGACCAAAGAATACTTGTTATATTTGTATGAAAGTAGGATGTTACTTACCAGATAGGAAGAGTGCATTTCCTAAAAAGAGGTAAGGCTGGTTTGTTGTGGAAGATCCCACAGTACCAAGGAACAATAAACAAGTGAAATGACAAATTTGACACCAATGAAATAACAAAGTGATACAAATTGTGTTGATGTTTTGTATTGAAATTATTGTTGCATTTAAATTTATATATTAAGAAATGGACAAAGTCCGACAATTTATTTATTAAAGACATTTTTATGTTTAACGTTCTTTTTATAGATACAAGTATTTAAGTAAATGCTCTGTTTAATAAACAGTATTAAATAACATTTACCGGCCTGAATTTTCTATGAAAATTTCTCGAACATTCAGGCCGGTAAATGTTATTTAATACTGTTTATTATAAACAGAGCATTTACTTAAATACTTGTATCTATAAAAAGAACGTTAAACATAAAAATGTCTTTAATAAATATATTTAAATTTATGTACAACTGTTTTGTTTTTGTGTTACGTAGAAGTTTTAATTTCGTTCAACGTCCTTTCCTAGTTTGTTTGAAATAGTAATGAAAGTTTTGCGGAAATAATGTGTGTTGAATAAAATGTTGAATGAAAATTTGGGCAAGTTGAGAGAATATGTATAAGTGTATGTTAAAATTAAACAGTTTGAAAATAGTGCGAAAAAACGTGTGCTGGTGTGACTCACAATGTTAGGTTAAGAGTGTCTTTGTGGTTGCAATGAGATGAATAGATAGACTGTAGTTGTGTTAAGGCAATAGCTTAACATATAGCCAGGATTTCCATTACTTATCTGCTTTTCGCCGAAACTTTTGTGATTCCCCAACTGACCAAAAACTGTGTTCAGGAATGTTCGTGCAGGAATGTATAAGTTTCATGGCGTTTTCCCTCAAGGAAAAAACGCAAATTCTCCACACAGTTTTACATTGCTTATAAGTAAGAATAGAAATGAGATCGAGAGAAAATGCCGCCAAGTATTTATGAGTAATGTGAACCACGTGATAGGCTCGAGAACACGCTTACATTTTTTGGCGCTTTTTTTTGTTTGTTTGAACAGATCGTGCATAGGCGGAAACATGACCTTGGCATTATTGGACCAATCAGAATATGTCCGTTGCTGAAAACTTTGTTTGGAGCCTATGTGTGTTTTTAGCTGTGCAAGATTTTAGAACTTTGCACGTGAAGATAAACAAAATACAATTTTCATATTTATTGTCCAATCAGAACGTTGTTTAATGACAACATTATGAAAACTTAGGTGTGATCAACTGAAATGTAGAAGTTAGATTCTACACCTGTTCCGCCACCCATTTACTCAAGGACGCTAGATAGGTCATGCGTTGTTTTCCTCCGTCCCTCTTGCCTTCAATTTGTCTTGTGAGTATTAGATTTTCCAAGTCTTCTTTCCTTATTAGGTGTCCTAGAAATTTCTACTTTTCTGAAACAAGAGAACTACGATTTACATGACCGGCTTCAGAGAAGAGCTCTTTAGGCAAAAGGAAAAGAACGACAGATGTTTAAATCCAAACTACTATTGCTGTTATTAGTACATAATAATAATAATGCTGAACCAGGCATACATAAAATAAACTCTAACGCCATTACAATACATTGATGAAACTTTAAAAAAAAAAGAAAAGATAAAGTATTATTATGTGCGAGATCATACTTGTGAATGATCTAGCACATAATAATTTACTCAATGCAAAGTGATACACAGAAATAATTTCAACCACAATTTCCATGTCAAAAGTGATGTACTTAATTAACTTAGATGTAAATTTCTTGAAGATGCAATGATTTTTGTCAGAATATATTCTTACAACCTGGAGGCTTTTCAAATATCTCCTTTCTTAAAAGAAATGCTCCTTTCTCAAGCCAAGATATTTATCAGTCAGTCAGTTATGTTCTATGCATGATACACGCTTAGGTGATCATGTATCTTTCCATACGTGACTGACAAGGTAGATTTTTTTTCACGCAGTAAGTTGCCATTTGTTTCTGCAGTAGACCAGTTGCCATCCAAGGCAACTGGTCTACTGGTTTGTCCAGCTGGGGTGGGGAGAGGATTCAGACCTTTCTCAAGGGTATGAAGAAAGGAAAGAAGAAGAGGATTCATGCTATTCAAAGGACAGTAATTTGACTTTACTAACCAGACGCTTCCCCTGTAACTAAATGGTATAGCAAATCAGGTTATATCACGGTTCCATGTAGGATACATGTTCGATTCTATGAAATTTTTAAACAAATTTTCCGCTAAATGTAGTTAATACTGTTTATTATAAACAGAGCATTTACTTAAAAAATTATATCTGTAAAAATAGAGCATAAACAGAAAATATATTAAAATAATTGTCGGACTTAGTCAATTTCATAAGATATGATGTCATTTGTTTACGTTAAGATACGCTTCCAGCAGATATGAGCGTTCGAGAAAAGTCATGGGAAATTTGTTGTTTAAAAACAGTAATTTGACTTTGCTAACCAGACGCTTCCTCTGTAGCTAAATGGTATAGGACGTAGGGTTATATCATGGTTCCATGTAGGATACAGGTTCGATTCTTGGGCACCTCGAAGTGGTGCAATGGTTAGCAAGATTGTCTCGCTAGAACAATTACGTCTGGGTAGTGAGTTCGATGCTCACTGGGTGCCCCATACTTTCGGCCCTGTGCCACATCTAAGCTACGCTTGGAAAATAACTACAGGTTCGATTCTATGAAATTTCTCGGACATTAAGGCCGGCAAATGTTGTTAATATTGTTTATTATAAACAGAGCATTTACTTAAAATGTGAATCTATAAAAATAACGTATAAACAGAAAATATATTAAAATATTTGTCGGAGTTAGTCCATTTTATATATTTTGCCAATGTATAATTTAACAGAAAATTTTCTTAATAAAATTCTTAATGATAATAGATATTCTTAATAAAGTAAACTTGCTAAAACACTTACAAAAAATAAACAATCGATGTATACCTCGACGTATCTTAAAAACAAAGAGAACAGATATGTATTTTAATAATTAGGTACATAATAATATAACAAAATTTATAATAAAGAAAGAAGATAAGAATAAATGGTTAATTAAAATAGTCAAGACTT